CCTGCTCCTCTGATGCTGCTTGGCCTGCTGTGTTCATCCAGCTCTACACCTTGTTATCTCTTTTTCTAGAAACTTCTATTTTTGTTCCTGATTTACAGCATCCGCAGTTTTTACAAATATATTATTCATTAACTATTCAGTGACAGGCGCTGAAACATTAGCAAATTCAATCAGAATAAATCGGGCTTTTAATTCTATTATTTTAAGTGTCTCAACTTATATTCTTTTCAATAGCATCAGGAAACAACACCCTCAGCGTCAAGTAAGATTATTCTGAGAAGGGTATCCATTTTTGAATGAGGCACAAGCAAAAGAACATTCACTAACTTCTGAAACAGAAACTGGCAAAAGTTATAAAGTTAAAACGGAGCCACTTGATTAACAAATCATGGGATTTGTAGTTACAAACTGTTAGCTTAACAAGTAAATAAAGCAAGCGATCAAATACCTCCTGAGCCCCTCTGCTGCAGAGCAAATGCTGCATCAAACTCACCTGTCAAGGTGTGAGTAAACAGAGGGGGGCGTGACTTAAGCGCAAGGCTAGCCGGGAGTTGTAGTCCGGTCCGCTGGCGCCCTCTGCAATGCCGGCCAGGAACGGAACACATAGAGACTACAATTCCCGGCAGTCCGCACGACAACACTGCGGGACGAAACCCGAGTCCAACAACAAACGCCGTCGCCAACCTCTTTAAAAAATTACCACAGCATCTGGAGAGCAGGGGAGAAATACCGACTCTCCTCCGGCCCTCACTTTACCTGTGAGGTATGGCCGCCCTCGCAGTAACCCAGGCTGAAGCCGCCGCCCGGTCGAGGCAGAGGGCTAGACACCTCCCGCGGCCCAGGCAATGCAGCATCGCCAGAATCCACTGCGTGGCACCTGCCGCCGTGCCCCTAGCGGCCGGAGGACCACATTCACCCTCAGCCATCACATTCCCCATGGTCACCATCCTTTCTCTGGGCAGTGATGGCCATTCAGTTATAGAAAACAGAAACTGCTGGAAAACCTCAGCAGGCCTGACAGCATCTGTGGAGAGAAGTCAGAGTTAACATCTCAGGTCCAGTGACCTTTCTTGAGAAGCGTTAACTGATTTTTCTATACTGATGCTGCGAGACCTGCTGAGATTTTCTAACAATTTATGTTTTTGTTTTAGATTTCCAACTGCCTTCTGGTTTATTGTTGTATAAGGCAGTTGGCTCCTGATAGGGTGATCAGGAGATAGTTACACAAATTAGGTTGGCTCCTCAATCGTGCTCCACTATTCAATAAAATCATGGCTGCTCTGTTTGCACCAGACACATATTCCCCTCCCCTTCATTGTCTGCCTTCTGCAGGGACCGTTCCCTCCTGGACACCCTGGTCCACACTTCCTTCACCCCCAACACCTCTCCACAGCCCCACGGCACCTTCCCCTGTAACCAGCGAAGGTGAAACACCTGCCCATTTATCTCCTCCCTCTTCAGTATCCAAGGGCCCAAACATATGTTCCAGATGAAGCAACACTTCGCTTGCACTTCCCACAATATAGTCTACTGCATTCGCTGCTCACAATGTAGTCTCCTCTACGTTAGGAAATGAAGCATAGACTTGGCAACCACTTCACAGAATATCTACGTTCTGCTCGCAAAAAAAGACCCTGAACTATCTGTTGCCCGCCACTTTAGTGCACCACCATGCTCCCTGGTCAACATCTCTGTCTCTGGCTTACTGCAGTGTTCCAGCGAAGCCCAAAGCAAGCTGGAGGAACAACACCTTATTTTCCACTTTGGGACCCTACAGCCCTCTGGACTCAATATTGAGTTCTATAATTTTAGGGCCTAAACTCTCCCATGTCCCAGCCCCCTACCCCACACACCAGGCCTTGTTATCACACCCAGCCCTGCTGAGTCTTCACCATCCCCCCAGACCACCCCCCTTACTGAGGGCGAATGGTCAGTCCTCAATAAAGGGCTCACCTTTGTCCCCCTCCACCCAACATCAACAAATACCGCTCATGTTTGGATGTTGAACAGTTTTTCCACCGCCTCCGCGCTTACTTCTTTAACTGTGAGCCTCACCCTCCCCCTCCTGACCCCTTCTCCCACCTCCAACACACCCCTTCCTCCTGGACTCCACCCCAAGGCCTCCTACCCTCCCTCGACCTCTTCATCTCCAATTGCCGTCGAGACATCAATCGCCTCAACCTCTCCACCCCTCTCACCCACTCCAAACTCTCCCCCACGGAACATGCAGCCCTCCAATCCCTCTGCTCCAATCCCAACCTCACCATAAAACCCATGGAAAAGGGAGGCGCAGTTGTAGTATGGCGCACTGATCCCTACATCGCTGAGGCCAGACGCCAACTCTCCGATACCTCCTCCGACCGCCCCCTTGATCATGACCCCACCCCCGACCACCAAACCATCGTCTCCAAACCATCCACAACCTCATCACCTCAGGTGACCACCCACCCACAGCCTCCAACCTTATCGTTCCCCAACCCCGCACCGCCCGCTTCTATATCCTTCCCAAAATCCACAAACCTGACTGCCCTGGTCGACCCATTGTCTCCGCCTGCTCCTGCCCCACCGAACTTATCTCCACCTATCTGGACTCCATTTTCTCCCCCTTGGTCCAGGAACTCCCCACCTACGTCCGTGACACCACTCACACCCTCCACCTCCTCCAAAACTTCCAATTCCCTGGTCCCCAACACCTCATCTTTATCATGGTCGTCCAGTCCCTATACACCTGAATTCCCCATGCAGATGGCCTAAAGGCCCTCCGCTTCTTCCTGTCCCGCAGGCCCGACGAGTCCCCAACGCCCTCATCCGCTTAGCCGAACTCGTCCTCACGCTCAACAACTTCTCTTTCAATTCCTCCCACTTCCTACAGACAAAGGGGGTGGCCATGGGTACCCGCGTGGGCCCAAGCTATACTTGCTTCTTTGTAGGTTACGTGGAACAATGCCTCTTCCATAGCTACACTGGCCCTAAACCCCACCTCTTCCTCCGTTACATTGATGACTGTATCGGCACCGCCTTGTGCTCCCACGAGGAGTTCGAACAGTTCATCCACTTCACCAACACTTTCCACCCCAACCTTAAGTTCGCCTGGGCCATCTCTAATACCTCTCTCTCCTTCCTGGACCTCTCTGTTTCCATCTCTGGTAACCACCTGGAATCCGATATCCATTTCAAGCCTACCGACTTCCACAGCTACCTAGAATACACCTCCTCCCACCCACCTTCCTGCAAAACTGCCGTCCCCTATTCCCAATTCCTTCGCTTCCGCAGCATCTGCCCCCAGGATGAGGCATTCCACTCCTGAACATCTCAGATGTCCTCGTTTTTCAAGGACCGCAACTCCCCCTCTCAGTGGTTGAGAACGCGCTCAACCACGTCTCCTGCATTTCCTGCAACTCATCCCTCACACCCCTCCCCACAATAACAACCAAAACAGAATCCCCCTCGTCCTCACGTACCACCCCACCAACCTCCGGATCCAACGCATCATCCTCCGACACTTCCGCCATCTGCAATCCCACCCTTATCTGCTTTCCGGAGAGACCACTCTCTCCATGACTCCCTTGTCTGCTCCACATTCCCCTCCAGCCCCACCACACCCGGCACTTTTCCCTGCAACCGCAGGAAGTGCTACACCTGCCCCCTACACCTCCCCCCTCACCCCCATCCCAGGCCCCAAGAAGACTTTCCACATCAAGCAGATGTTCACCTGCACATTTGCTAATGTGGTATACTGCATCCGCTGTTCCCGTTGTGGCCTCCTCTACATCGGGGAAACCAAGCGGATGCTTGGGGACCGCTTTGCGGAACACCTACACTCGGTTCACACTAAACAACTGCACCTCCCAGTCACGAACCATTTCAACTCCCCCTCCCATTTCTGAGATGACATGTCCATCCTGGGCCTCCTGCAGTGCCACAACGAAGACATCCGAAGGTTGCAGGAACAGCACCTCATATTCCACTTAGGAACCCTACAGCCCAATGGTATCAATGTGGACTTCACAAGTTTCAAAATCTCCCCTCCCACTACCGTCTCCCAAAACCAGCCCAGCTTGTCCCCGCCTCCCTAACCTGTCCTTCCTCCCACCTATCCCCTTCTCCCACTTCAAGCCGCACCCCCATTTCCTACCTACTAGCCTCATCCCACCCCCTTGACCTGTCCATCCTCCCTGGACTGACCTATCACCTCCCTAACTCCCCACCTACACTCACCTTTACTGGCTCCATCCCCGTCTCTTTGACCTGTCTGTTTCCTCTCCACCTATCTCCTCCTCTGTCCATCTTCTATCCGCCTCCCCCTCTCTCCCTATTTATTTCAGAACCCCCTTCCCCTCCCCAATTTCTGAAGAAGGGTCTAGGTCCGAAACGTCAGCCTTCCTGCTCCTCTGATGCTGCTTGGCCTGCTGTGTTCATCCAGCTCTACACTTTGTTATCTCAGATTCTCCAGCATCTGCAGTTCCTACTGTCTCTTGTTACCACATAGCCTGCCATTACACACCCCGTGTTGTAGTCACTAACAGTCCCCATTAACAACTCCTCACCCTCCCAGCCTGATCGTTAGCAACTCCTTTGTCTGTCCAACTGTCTCTCCCTATCTTTGGGCTCCATCCTATCGTTTACTCCCTACCCCACCCACCTCCCTATTTTCTGCTTATAAACTGACGTTTTCCCAGCCACCATCATTCTGAGTAAGGATCACCCGACCCAAAATGTTAACTCTGTATTTTCCTTCACAGATGCTGCCAGACCTGCTGAGCTTTTCCAGCAACTTTGTTTTTGTTCCTGCTCTGTTAGTGTTTGGAATTCCATGTTCCCCTTGGTGACACAGTTGCGTGGTGGCACATTGCCTTCAGTTCCAGAAGAAACTTCTGCCAACTGACCACAGAGAAGAATTGTAGGGAATGCAGCCAATTGCCCTTCCTTCCCCTGCCCAACAACAAACTATCTAGAAGCAAAACAACGCAGTCATGCTGGAAATCTGAAACAAAAGCAGAAAGGTGTGGAGAAACTCAGCAAGATTGGCACCATCTAAAGAGAGAGAAAAAGAGTCATGTTGGACTCAAAACATGAACTTTGTTTACAATATTTAATTTAATAGTTTAGTGGTATAGTTTAATGACGTTGGTGACTTGCTCGCCAAGCTGGCTTGTTTTCGTTCAGACGTTTCGTCGCCGTGCGAGGTGACATCATCAGTGAGAGCTCCAATGAAGCGATGTTATTCTACTCCACTTGGAATTTAAACTGTCTGGTCCGTTATGGTGAGTAGTGTCATTGCCGGTTTTGATCTGTATGGGCTTGTATACGGAGTCCAATTCTATTTGTTTGTCTAGGCCCGAAACATTAGCCTTCCTGCTCCGCTGATGCTGCTTGGCCTGCTGTGTTCATCCAGCTCTACACCTTGTTATCTCTATTTGTTTGTTGATTGCTTTACAGGTTTGGAACCGTGCCTCTAGGAATTCCCGTGCTTGTCTATGTTTGGCTTGGGCTACTAGTTATGTTGTCCCAGTTAAACTGATGGCCTTCATTGCCAGAGCGTACTGATATTAAGGAAAGCTCGTCAAGCCGTTTTGCTGCTAGTTGATGTTCATGTATTCTGATGGCTAGTTTTCTTCCTGTCTATCTAATGCTTGTGGCAGTCGTTGCATGTTATTTTGTAGACTGCGTTGGGTCTGCATGTTGTGGGAATGGGGTCTTTAATCCTTGTGAGTGTTTGTCGTAGCGTGGCTGTGGGCTTGTGTGCCACCATGATTACTAGTGGTCTTCGGAGTCTTGTTGTCAGTTCTGATAAGTTCCTGATGTAGGACAGTGTGGCCAGTGTGTTAGGGTGTACTGTGTCCTCCTGTTGTTGTCTGTTTAGTCGGCATCTGCGGATATTCCCGCAACT